CTTATAAGGATCGAGTCACTCTCGTTATTTGTGGAAATGCTGAGGGATTTTTGCTCAAGCCGGCCCTTATCTACAAGGCCAAGAATCCTATGTACAGTATAATAATACTGTATGTGAAATATGTACTTGCCAAGCCTATGTCTACTGGACTACATGCCCCCAGAGGGAGCACCTGCTAACAGTGAGCAGCTGCTGTGGTGAGGGGCAGTCCAGCGGGTTCCAGCGGATAGTGACCCGAGTGCAACAGAAGGAAGTGCTGCCTGGACCTCTACCAGCTTCATGATCGCCAGGCCAAACCCATTACTGGAGCCACTGGGTCAATCCCTTTTGTCAAGAGTTGCCCTCTTTCGCTGCCTTTCTATTTGAACAAGCACAATGTCCTTTTCTGGGGACTGGTTTCTCTTCAAAACATGCCCCAGGGAGAATTCTAGAGAGCTTTCTGGCCGTACGTCCATCATCCAAGGCAGATGTTTATTTTGCCAGTCAGGGAACTTTCCAGTATCTTCATCAGCACCGTAATTCAAATGCCTCGCTATTAGTATCTCTAATAATCAAATAGTTTCTTTCTCATAAGAAATCCAGTCTCTGTGGCTTTTGCTGAAGGCAGCTTGGTACCAAATAGGAATTAACATGTTTGGTTGATCATGGTGTAATGAAATTAGTCTACTGTATTACTAATAGGTTCCTACTTGTTGGATTCTGTCCATCAAAACAAGAACATTTATGAGTATTACGTAAAATGGCTTTACTTTTCTACTTAAAAATTGCATTCATCTTGCTTTAAACATTTTTGGGGGTGGAGGGGTGACAGCAAGGAGGTTAAGATCAAGAGATGTATGAGTGATAAGTTGCCAACCTTCCTCAGTCATAGGTCACTGCTTCACAAGTGTTGAGAAATAACTACTGAAGACCAAGGAGTGTACTGTACATTTTATTTTGGAATAAAATTTGGAGAGTGGTTCAAGGTCATATTTCAATACTGTTGCACAAAACATAGACATTTTTAGAAAGTTGACCAAAATGCTGTTTTAAAAAACTGTGCTTCAATAGGATTTATCCTGTTTTACTGGCCGAGCATAAAAAATATATCCCAAATGAACCTTGCTGCGCTTTTCACAACCACACTGACATTTGTTGTAGCTAATCTATGCATAGAATCCAAGGCATGACTTTACCGCCACGATCTTTGTAAAAATGCTGTGAAACTCAAAAGTATATATCAAGAATACTTAAGTAATTGTAAACACTGTAGTACAAATATAGCTCTCTCCAAACTTTAGCTGCTGTTGGCTTATGCTTTTTACGGTGAGAGCTCCCATTTCTTGTTGCATCACTTGCATGCTGCTGAGCAGACCCACAGGTCATCATCACCAACAAATACTGTATTTTTACATAACCGTGATTTTGTCACTCTGTGTACCTCCTGAGCACCCACTCAGAGGGATCCACTCCTTGGACTTGAGGGTGACTTAAGGGTGATTGTTGGGATATGCAGGCAAAGTTGACTTCAAACATGTACAACGATTCACAAAACCTATAATTGGCTCCTTTCTGTATATCTGCATTTTCCATAAGTGTGTGTGTGTGTGTATGTGTGTGAAGTAGAATAAGTACAGTGCTAAGGAGGGGCAAGTGCAGGTGCAGAATTAGAATTCATTCTAGACAGTTCTCATGGCACCTTCATTTGAGGAAGAATGAGCCAGCAGAGAACTAGAGGGGGTTAGACCCGTGAAATTACTGCTAGTATCCTGTGCCAGACACTGCTGCTACTCCCTATCAAACACGTGTTTAACAATGTTCCTGAGCTCTGTTCTATAGTGTGAGTGCATCTGTCCTGGGGCTTCTGCCTTTCCTTGTCTCCCTCCCTCCCCTGCCTGTCGCAGTCTCGGCCCTTTCTCATGATCTGCACAGGAGTTTCATTTCTGAGCGCCTGAAAGCAGCTGAGTGATGCCAGAGGGAAAGCCGCCCTGTGTTTTTCAACAGATAACAACAGGAGCTCCGAAGACAGAAAATAGAGACAAAGAAGTAGAGTCTTGTCATCCGTGAGCTTGGGGCCACTGATAATTATGAAAAGAGGAGACTATTAAGTATCATTCTCAACAGCAACTTGATGTGTTGAAAGAGGTTCAAAGATGTAGGCCGAAATCTTGGATTGTCACTTTTATCTCTACAGCTTGGAGCCAGTCAACTCTGAGCTTCAATTCCCTCATCTGTAAACTGGGTTATGCAGTGGAGTGCTAACCACAAGGTCAATGGTTCAAATCCACCAGGTGCTCTCCGAGTAAAAAGATAAGGCTTTTTGCTCCTGTAAAGATTTACAACTCAGAAGCAGGCACAGTTCTACTCTGTCGTATAGGGTTTCTGAGTTGGGAATCAACTCGATGGCAGTGGATTTGGTTTTGATTTTTGGCTTTATCTACCAAAGTAAGCTGTGGCTTCAGTGTGCTTAAAAATCCCTTGTAAATTATAAAGTTCTATGTAAACAGAAGTTGTTTGATAGATTATAACCAGTCTTGATATTTAGTTTTACATTTGACTTTTTTTCTTGATCCTTTCTGTCTCACTTGTCGACCTTGATAATGTCAGTTTCTTCTTTTCACAACATTGTAAACTTGCGCTTCTGGGCGCCAGCACTGATGTTCTGTGCCGTCACAAAGTCAAGCCCTGAAGATAAACACTTGGACTTCATGTGGGGGGGAGGGGGGGGAAGGTAGCTTCATGCAGTAATGGCAGGAAGAAATCTTGACTATTGGTGTAAAGTGAGGTACACTGCCAAAAGTGAGAGAGAGATGAGAAAAAGGCTTCCTCGGCAGTAACTTCCTGCAGAAAACTTGATCCGACCTTCAACTGCTGGATAAACTACTTTCATTTTGAAGATGTATTCAGAAACCACGCTGATATCTTGGTCACCTAGGAAAACACAGAGCTTATTTTAGCCATAGAAACAGTAATTATTAATTAACAAGTGGGGGTGGGGCTAATTGTAGTTATAGAAGGGGTGAAAGACCTTTCATAAGCAGATATTGGCCATCCTGTGCGATAAAATTGCCTTTTCATGATCCAGATGTGAAATGTGCCCGTTATTCTGTGGGATAAGTGGGTAGAGGAGAGCTGCCTCAGCTCGCAGAAGACTTGAGAGAGGTGGTTGGCATTTAAGCCTTTGAACCACTCCCAACGAAGGCATTAGCGAGCTGGGTTAAAAGCATTTCGTTGAGATGTACAATTGGTTTCCTTTGCTCGCCTACTCAAGAATTATTTGGGCACCATGGGTGATGGGACAATGCAGCTTCACTTTCAAAAGCGGGGAGAGATGACATATTAATTATCTGTATCTACAACAAACCCATGGGGATCAAAGAGAAGATCATTTTCAAGTACCAATACTTTAAAAATAATTCATTTCTCTATGGTTCTTACTCTGGCTGTACATTCGACTCATTGGCATTGCACTGTGATCCACAAGGTCAGCAGTTCAAAACCACCAGCTACTCCTCAGGAGAAAGACAGGGCTTTCTACTCCTACAAACATAATCTCAGAAATCACAGGAGCAGTTCAACCCTGTCTACCGGGTTATCATTGACTCAATGGCAATGAATTTGGGGGGTGGGGTGGGTTGGAGTTGTTTCTCTTTGGTTCTTACTCTGATACTCTCATTAGAAGAAATCTTTAAAAATGTTGGTGTCTGGGCTGTGCCCCAAATAACTAGATTAGAATCACTATAGAGTTGGGGCCAGATCATTGGTGCTTTCTCTAAAATTCCCCCCAAATAACTCCCCCAGTTATTCTAAAGTGTAACCAGGTTGACAGCCCTTCGGTGTGCGCTCCTCGGCGCATTTAGTACCAGGTGATGCTGTTACTGAACGCATTGTCTCAAGAGGACACCCTTTTCGGCTTGCCCTTCCATCTCCTATCATGGCGTGAGTGGAAGTAGTCAGCTGTCCTCCCCATAGGAAGGGCAGACTGGGGCCTGGTCCTGCCCTCCCCTTCCGTGGACTAAGCTGCTAAAACGGCAGGCCCACAAGGCAAGGCTGAGGAAGAGCCTGGCTAGAGGTTCCCTCCTGGAGACAGGGGTGTGCCAGGCAAGTCTCGTGAGCATGAAGGTGGAAGTGGGTACTCTGTTAGTGCACTGGTGTACACAAGGTAGCTTTCTAAAAGTGAATTTGGAGTAGAATGTCTCTCAACGATGCTAAAAATAGTGATTAGGTCAAGAATGGCTGCTTTTACAATTTGGTACATCAGCCCCGAGAGCTGAAAGAGGAGGCAGATCTCATCCATTCCTACCTTCCCTATTCACACTAAAAGCTTCTTCTGAAAAGAAAATCTAGATGCTTTACCCTGCAGATTTTCCACCTAACCTCCCTTTTTGTTAACACAGGTAGTTCCTGACCTGCGATGGGCTTCCACTCTGGTGACTCTGTGCTAAGTCCGTTTGACAAGTGGAGAACCTCTTTTTTTTAATTTAAGTTTTCACTAGTGTTGCCTTTAAAAAATAAATTTATAAATCAGATTTTTTATTTGTCTTTGGGGTTTGGAAACAGACTCAACAGATATATTTTAAAATTGTAAATATGAGTTGTATAAAAAATTTTATGTTGTAAATGTGGTTCATTTTAACTCAGATATGTTGTAGGTTGGGGCCTACAACAAATTAAATCACCACATAAGAGTGCTACACAAATAATTGAGAGACATGGTTACACTTTCCACAATGTTTTAGCCTCCTCATTTACCTGGTCTCCCTATCCCTTAGCCCTTTACCTGTGCTTTGGAGTTGCCGATCACCTCCTGAGGGTCACATGTCTCATTTTAAAAGATGTGCAGTAAGAGGGCAATTTTTTTTGAAGGTGATAAGGTTCGTGTGATTTTTAATTTTATTAGGGGCTCATACAACTCTTATCACAATCCATACATACATCAATTGTGTAAAGCACATTTGTACATTCATTGCCCTCATCAT